AAATCAAAACCCATAAATCAAAAGCATTTTTATACATCAGTGATGAATCCTCTGAAAGAGAAATTAGGAAAACTACCCCATTCACAATAGCTTCACAAAAAATAAAATATAAACAAATGAGGTTAAAGACCTCTACAAAGAAAACTACAGAACATTAAAGAAATAAATAGAAGAAGCCTTGAAAGATGAAAAGATCTCCCATGCTCCTGAGTAGGCAGAATTAACATTGTCAAAATGGCTATACTACCCAAAGCACTATACAGAGTCATTGCGATTCCAATTAAAATCCCAACGTCATTCCTTATAGAAATAGAAAAAGCATTCAAGAAATTTATTTGGAAAAATAAGAGACCCAGAATAGCCAAAGCAATCCTTAGCAAGAAAAGTGAAGCAGGAAGCATCACAATACCAGACCTTAAACTATACTACAGAGCTATAGTAACAAAATCAGCATCGGCACCAAAACAGACATGTAGACCAAGGGTACAGAATAGAGGACACAGAGGCAAACCCACATAAATATAGTCATCTCATACTAGACAAAGGCACCAAAAACAACAAATGGTGCTGGGAGAACTAAAAACCCATATGCAGCAAAATGAAACTAAACCCCCTCTCTCTCACCATGCACAAAACTCAGCTCAAAGTGGATCAAGGACCTAGGAATTAGCCCAGAGACCCTGCGCCTAACAGAGGAAGAACTAGGCCCAAATCTTCATCACATCAGATTAGGCCTCGATTTCCTTAACAAGACTCCTAAAGTGCAAGAAATAAAATCAAGAAATCAAGAAATGGGATGGATTCAAACTAAAAAGCTTCTTCTCAGCAAAAGAAACAATCATTGAAGTGAACAGAGAGCCTACATTTTGGGAGTAAATTTGTGCCATACGCATATCAGATAGAGCACATATCTCTAGGATATATAAAGAACTCAAAAAACTTAACACCCAAAAAACAAACAACACGATCAATATAAGGGCTAAGGAGCTGAACAGACACTACACAGAAGATACACAATCAACAAATATATGAAAAAGTGTTCAACATCTCTAGTAATTAGAGAAATGCAAATCAAAACTACTCTAAGATTTCATCTCATTCCTGTCAGAAAGGCAGTTACCAAGAATACAAACAACAGTAAGTATTGGTGAGGATGTGGGGGAAAAGGCACACTCATAAATTGCTGGTGGGACTGCAAATTGGTGCAACCAATATGGAAAACAGTATGTAGATTCCTTAGAAAACTTGGAATGGAACCACCATTTGACCCAGCTATCCCACTCCAGGGTCTAAACCCAAAGGACTTAAAATCAGCATACTATAGTAACGTAGGAGTATCAATGTTCATAGCAGCTCAATCCACAATAGCTAAACCGTGGAAGCAACCTAGATGCCCTTCAATAAATGAATGGATAAAGAAACTGTGATATATATATATATATATATATATATGTGTGTGTGTGTGTATGTGTATATATATACACACACACACATACACACACACAATGGAATATTACTCAACATTAAAAGAGAATAAAATCATGACATTTGCAGGTAAACGGATGAAGTTAGCATGAATATCATGCTAAGCAAAGTAAGCCAATCCCAAAAAACCAAAGGCCAAATGTTCTCTCTGATAAGTGGATGCTGATCCACAATGGGGTGGGGGGGGGGTGGGGAGCATGGTAAAGATGGAGGAACTGTGATTGGGCAAAGGGGGACAAGAGGGGGGAGGAGGGGGTATGAGCACAGGAAAGATGGTGGAATGAGATGGACATCATTACCCTAGGTATATATATGACTGCACATATGGTGTGACGCTATATCATGTACTACCAGAGAAATGAAAAAGTGTGCTGCAATTGTATAAATGAATCAAAATGCATTTTGCTGTCATATAGACCTAATGAGAATTTATTAATTTAAAAACAATAATGAGCTCTTTAAAATTAAACATTTAAATCACTAAATAGAAATTTCAGTACAGTGGTAGAAAAATCAGAAGCCAATGACATTTCTTAGAGAAAATGAAAATGAAATTCTATACAGCATTCCCAAAAGTCTTGTGGCATATTCTGCAGACTGTTTCCTTCAACCTCTAGGGTCAACTGTTTCTTCTTTGCCCGCCCTCTGAATAACACTATAAAACTAAAACTTAAGATCCCTGGTCTCCCAGATTGACAGGATGAAGATGCAGAAACAAGAAAAGAAGGGAAGTCTGTGTCCTCAGGACACCACTGGGAGACCAAACTAGCTCTAGGACTGCCCTCCTCTGGACATTTATGTGAAAGTATTCCAACAATAGAAACTATACTGCTTGACAAAACAAAATCAAAACACATGTAGAAAACTTCAGACTTCTATATCAACTTAGAGCCACACTCAAACAATAGAATAAAGGCATTATAAATACTAAACAAGGTAATAATTTACCTCCTACATACTGATTGCTAGGAAGCCACTGAAGGATGTGCTTTACTCACATGAGACAGACAAACCAGAAAGCAATGATGAGACACTATATCAAATGGGAGGAGGCAGGGGTGATGCAGGAAAGCAGTGGAGAAGTTTAGAAGAACATCACCAAAGGCCAGTTCACAGGAAATGGTGCGACAGACCTAGGAAACAAGCAGACCAAACAAGTGGATGAAAACAGGTGACAGAGGCTTCATGAGGCAGGAGACAGAGAAATGGAGAGAGAGAGAGGTCGTACGGAGGGATACAGTGATGCGACCACGGGTCTTATAACGGATACAGGTGGAAGATAAAGGCAAAAGGAAAGTTCAAGCAGCTCTGAAGCCAAAAGGCACAAGACCCAGTGGTGTTGTGGACTCACCCAGAGGAGGGGGTTTGGTCATTTTCAGTTTGAGAAGATGACAAGTGAAATGTGTAAGGATTTTTTCCCCAGGCAGGAGATAGAACGGTCAGATCTTGGTCAGTAGTCACATCTAGGGATGGAGATGTAGGTGCAGATTATATTATCTACAGGTCACTAAAGTTCTGAGCATGCTCAACTTCTCTGAGAGGGACAGGGAAGAATGGGAAAAAGACTTAAGATTTCCAGATTTCATGGAATGGCCATCTTTTATAACTTTCCTTAAGGACTCTTACTATATGTTTGGGTGTGCAACTTTGTGTCTTTAACATTTCAACTTGACTCCTCTATAATAAGGGAGATTGTGAGAGGAAGAGGGGAAAGAATGTTCATTTCACATAGAAAGACATTTAGAGGCCATTAACCTCGTTTTAATTTTTTTTACAGTTACCTGGAGTGGTAAAAACTTAATCAAGGGCAGAGAGGAAGCAGAAGAACAGAACAGAAGCCAGGTAGTCTCTAGTAAATTGACAGCCCTCAGGGAAATTCTATTTATCATATGATACTTCCCCTAAGCAAAGAAAAATTAAAGCAATATTCACAACTGTTTCATTACCATAATAATATCATCACTTTCTCCAGCAACAGTTTTAAGTTTTTAAATTTCTTTTTCCAATTATAAATAATTTTAAAAGATTTCAGTCCAGAAATGAAAAATACTAAATGGATAAACACATTCTAAAAAGACCCTCCAAAACCAATAAACTAGAACATGTTTAAGAAAGAGACACTTAGAGAAATATTAACTTGACCTATACAATGATATTACCTTCTCTTTTCCTTTTTTATTTATGGAATAAATAAAATAGTAGAAGAAATAAAATAGTAGAAGAAAATGGTATGATTAATCTCTATGTACCCATCATCTTGCTTTAGCAATTATCATCACATGGCCAACTCTGTTTCAGCCCAAATAGTAGTTACTTCCTCCTTCCTCTCTTTCCTCACTTATCCTCATTATAATTATTATTTCAAATTTGACACAGGGTGTCACTAAGTTGCCCAGGCTGTTCTCAAATTCCTAGGCTCAAGTGATCCTTCTTTGTCAGTCTCCAGAGTGACTGGGACTCCAGGAATGCAAAGCTGTGCCCGGTCACCCTGATAACACCCTTTCTGTAACAGAATCATTTGCTTCTTAGCAAACTTGATGATCTCTTTCTTGGGCAATGTTTCTGGCTGAAAGATGTCACCAACTTGTCTGGTGTGGAGGCACATGCCTGTAATCCCAGCTGCTCAGGAGGACCAGGCAGGAGGATCATGAGTTCAAAACCAGTCTCAGCAACTTAGGGAGGCCCTAAGCATCTTAGCAAGAGCCTGTCCCTAAACAAAACATAAAAAAGGACTGGGGATGTGGTGGTTAAGTGCCCCTGGATTCAATCCCAACTACCAAAAAAAAAAAAAAAAAAAGGTAGAGGGGTCACCATCCTGTTCTCATTTCCGTTTCCAGTGTGCCACAAAAAGAAGCATAACGTCTAATAAAAATTAAAAAATTCTTGAATAAATCTTGAAATTGACCAAACAACATACTTTTTTCCATATTTTAAAATCAGAAAATTCAACTTCAACTCACTATCAGTTATTTATTAAGCAAAAAGCTGTCCCCACCTCTTACACATACTGTTGTTACAAACTGACATTTTCTAGGTTTTGATTTAACTATACAATGAGGGGTTAAAACTAATGCTACTTAAAATTCCTTAGAGCTGTAAAATTCATTCCATTCCAAGGTGAACAAAAGTCTCTGGCCACGTGAAAATTCAAGCACAATTACAACAAGAAGATGCATCAGGAGGAAACATTTCAGCTTTAACTAAAAAAAAAAAAAAAAAAACTGGCTTCACCACATTTGAAAATTACTTAGCTCCTGTGGACTACTTTCTCCTTTGTCAAATGAGACAAACAACAGTACTATCTCATGGTTACCATGAAGACTAAATGAAATGCTTAGGCAAGTGCCATAAACTTAGCATGCAATCATTACTTTTGAGTAATAAACCACTACCATTTGGAGTCACTGAATGCTACATTTTGATTGCATGGGGCCATAACAATGATCTGATTCCCTTCTCTTGTTTCTAATTTAATACAGTAACCAGAGCCCGCAGGATGGTCCCTTGATCCCTACCTTAAGTCACTGCTCTTTCCACTGCACCGACATATAAATCTTCATAAATTAGACTGCTTCAGTTAATGCTTGAAAAATTGTAGGATTTCTTGACAGTGTTAACCAGGACCAGGAAGAAAACAAGAAGGGGTTTGTAAATCAGGAAGTAAAGGAAGAAAGAGAAAGAAAAAAACAGGATACAGACGTGTGACTGAGTCAGTGAGACCTGAAATACCTGGGCGGGTCCCTCTTTTAAACCGCCTCCTGCTCCCCAGGTCACACTGCGCTCCTCCGTCGCCCTCCCCTCTCCAGGGGGCTGCGGGTCAGGCCACCTCTTCTCCCCTGAGGTCCGCGGCGCAGGCCACTCGGCTGAGGCCCCCGCATCCTGACCAGGACCCTGCAAGTCAAACCCCACCCAGCTGTGAACAGCAGCTCCGCTGAGGAGAGCCCTCAGGTGAGAACGGGGACAGCGGGCTCGGGCGGTGGGCGCTGTGGGGACCGCCCGGGCGGCTCCAGGGCACAGGCAGCCCGGACCGAGGCTCCCAGGCGGCGGCAGCGTCCTCCCGGGTCCCAGCCTCGTGTGGGCGCCTAGACCGGGGCCGCTCCCGGCCAGCGCCCCTTCTCCGCTCCTGGACCCCGCGAGCCGGACCCGCCACCCTGGGCCCGCAGCCCCGCAGCCCCGCCTCCGGGCGCTACTTCCGGCTCCTCCCCCTCGGAGCTCCGCGCGACCAGGCTCCAAGTTCGCGCCCCGGCATAGGCCCCGCCCCCGTCTCCCTGGCGACGGCTCCGCTGCGCTTCCGGGTCCACCTCTGCAGGCGGAGGGCCGGACCCTAGGCGCCCCGCCTGCCCGGCTGTCAGCTCAGCTGGTGACCTAGGGTAGGACAGCAACTAACTAGTCTCCTCACCTGTCCCCAACTTCCTAGGTGTGAGGCCTGCGGCTGCCCCTCGTGGCCCTGGGACCGTGTGGACTCGCCCGGATGCTGGGCTTTCCCCTGGGAAATGGCTCCTCAGCCAGGGTGATGGGACTGCTGCCCAGGAGGACAGGGGCCCTGGGAAGGCGCCTGCCACTCTCCTTGCTGTGAGGTGACCACTTCCAAGGGCCTCCTGGACAGCCAGCTGCTGGCGAGGGCTTTCCTGGGCATATGTTGTGGGTCTGCCCCAGCCTCAGGTTGGAAGTGGGACCTTCCTTCAAGCAGGCAGGACACTCAGGGTAGCACTGCCCTGTGGTGGCCCTGTGCAGTCAGGGATGTGGTAGAAAACAGACTCTCCCAGGGTGTTGGGACTAAGCACCTAAGAGAAACGACACCAAAAGAAAGCCAAGGACCCTCGCTTCCCAGGCTCCCCATGAGGTTGGCCTTGGAGTCCCTGGAGCTGCTGCTGTGCCCTGATGGGCCCCCCAGTTCCCCAAGCAGCCTTCCTGCTGAAGTGCTGAGGAGTTTGCTGTCACCCTGACCTTCCATTAGTGTTCCCCATACAATCCCATAACTAAGGTAACCTGCAAAGATAACTGAGTTCCCTGTAGTTTGAAGTGGCCAAAGGATGCAAAGAGCAGCACATGGTATGGATCAAATAGATAGTAGCCGATTCTATTAGGTAAAGAAAATGTCAACTTAAGAGAATGACTACTGGAGACATTAGGGTGCCCTCTCTCATCCACTCTTCCTCTTCTACAGTAGCACCCCCTAGTGTTTGGCTGCAGTTGGTTCAAAGGTAACAGATGCCATAAGGTGTACAGTCAGTGAGGTTGGGGACTTCTGTTTAGTTAAAGATAACATTTCTTTCATTTGATGTGATTAAACAAACACAGAAGCTCGGATTGCTGCTGTCAGAATTTGCCACTACAGTAGAAGGCAGGCTGAGAACAAATTGCTAAGAGGAAAAAGGAAGGACCAAGACCACCACGGAGGAGTCCAGGTCCACTGACGATCAGTGAGTCTAATTCATTTTGGTAAGTGAGTCAGTTAGCATTGGGATTTGCTGTTTCATGTAATAGTGTAAATAACTGGGAAAGAACAGTTTTACACTTTGAAAAAAAATGATCTCTTAACAGTGAGACTAAGAAGATGCTTATAAAGCTGCACATTGTACACCTTCCCTATAGAACTAGGAAAAAAATCTCAATTATTTAGAAAATTAACTCCTAAAAGCCACCAAAATTTTTTAATATTTTTATAACAGAAAGTACTATAAAAGAAGAGTGGATAAATGTTTTGGCAGACTGTATTCAAAGCCTAAGATGGAAAGTGAAATTTCTCCTATCTTATCTCTACCTGTAAGTTGCCCTTCATTTAGCAAGAAACCCGTGGACACTTAATTGAATCTATTAAGTAATTCATGTAGAAAAATACCAAAGGACCAGAACTGAAGGGCACTAGTGATTTCTTTCCAGGTTTTGAGAAATGTTAGAACTGAAACATCAGAGATGTGTTTTTTCTATTAATAAAAAGGATGTTCTGTCATTTTTCTCTTCCAGTGTGGTATCTGGGTATTGTTTTTATGTCATGTCTCTTCAGGTTTCTTTATTTGGAACATTTCTTCAGTCTTTCTTGGTCTTTTATATAATTAATATCAAAAGTTTAGTCCTCCCTTTTTTTTTCAATTGTCCTACAGTAAAATGGACATTCCTTTTGGCTTATAGTTCTTTGGGTTTCAATATACATTGAGACTCATGAAACCAGCACCACAATATGGTTACAGAAAAAGTTCTGTTAGCCCTCAAATTCCTCCATTACTACTCTGCTATAGCCACACACCTGTCCCATGCCTAATCTTAGCATGCATGATCTCTTCTTCATCACTATAGTTTGGAACTCTTGGGAACCTCATATAAATGGACACAGACTTCTTCTCTTACACCTCCCTCACCCTGCCTTATTGTGTATTAGTATCCAAATATCAATTTGAGACTGGATTTTTTCCTTGACATAATGCCTTTAAGATCCATCCAAACTGTTGCCTTTATCAATAATTTTTTTTCTTATTGCTGAGTAGTTAGTATTTATTGTATGGATTATCACAATTGGTTCATTCAACAATAGTAAGACTTTTGGGTTTGTTTCTAGTTTGGGGTGATTATGAAGAGATCCAGCTAAGCATTCATGTACAAGTTTTTGTGTGAAGATAAGTTCTGAATTCTGTAGGATAAATAGCTAAGGGTAAGATTTGCTGGATTCTACGGTGGGTATATGTTTGACTGTTGAAGAAACTGCCAAACTGTTCATCCTTGTCATTACCCATGATGCAACTGGGAGGAGATGATCTCTTCCTGGGGAGAGTTGCATTTAATTAACCATTGCCTGAGTAGGATGTACAAACTAGGAGATGAAGGAGGCAATCAACAGCCTATTTGAGTTTATTTTTAAAAAATATTTGTTCTTTTTAGATATACATGATAGTAGAATGTATTTTGACATGTTACACGTACATGGAATATAACTTATTCTAAGTTGGATCCAATTCTTATGGTTGAACATGATGTGGAGGTACACTGGTCATGTATTCACATTTGAACATAGGAAAATTATGTCTGATTCCTTCTACTATCTTTCGTATACCCATTCACCCTTCCTTCTCTTCATTCCCCTCTGTTTAATCCAATGAACTTCTTTTCTTACATCTCCCCCACCCCACCTTATTGTGTGTTAGCATCCAAATATCACAAAGAGCATTCTGTCTTTGGTTTTTGGGATTGGCTTATTTTGCTCAGCATGATAGTCTCCAGTTTCATCCATTTTTTGGCAAAGGCCATAATTTTATTCTTCTGTATGGCTGATTAGTATTCCATTGTTTATATATACCACACTTTCTTTATCCATTCATCTGTTGAAGGGTACCTAGGTTGGTTCCATAACTTAGCTACTGTGAATTGAGCTGTTATAAACACTGATGTGGCTGTAATATGTTTAAGTCCTTTGGATATACACTAAGGAGTGAGATAATTGGGTCAAATGGTGATTCAATTCCAAGTTTTCTGGAGAATCTCCATACTACTTTCCATAGTGATTGCACCAATTTGTGGTCCACCAGCAATGGATCAGTAAACCTTTTTCCCCATATCCTTTCCAATATTTATTGTTACTTGTATTCTTGATAGTGGATATTCTGACTGGAGTGAGATGGAATCTCAGTATCATTTTCATTGTTATTTCTCTAATTGCTAGAGTGTTGAATATTTATTTCTTCTTCTGCAGAGTGTCTGCTCAGTTCCTTTGCCCATTTATTTTTATTTTTGTGTGTGTGTTAAGATTTTTGAGTTCTTTATATATCCTGGAGATTAGTGCTCTGTCTGAGGTGCAGGTGGCTCCATGTTCTTGATTGTTTCCTTTGGTGTGCAGAAGCTTTTTAGTTTGATACCATCCAACTTATTGATTCTTGATTTTACTTCTTGTGCTTTAGGAGTCCTGCTGAGGAAGTTGGTTCCTAGGCTCCTAGGAGCATTGGGCCTATGTTTTCTTCTAGTAGGCACAGTGTCTGGTCTAATACCTAAGTCCTTGATCCACTTTAAGTTGAGTTTTGTTCAGGGCTCTCACCTTCATTCTGCTGCATATGGATTTCCAGTTTTCCCAGCATCACTTGTTGAAGAGGCTATCTGTTCTCCAGTGTTTGCTTATGGTGCCTTTGTCTAGTATGAGATAACTGTATTTATGTGTGTTTGTCTGTGTGTTTAATTTTGTTCCATTGGTCTTAATGTGTGTTTTTTTTGTGCCAATACCATGTCATTTTTGTTACGATAGCTCTGTGGTATAATTTAAGATCTGGTATTGTGATGCCTCCTGCTTCACTTTTCTCACAAAGGATTGCTTTAGCTATTCTGGGACTCCTTTTTTCCAAAATGAAAGTAATGGCTACCTTTTCTATTTCTATGAAGAACATAATTGGAATCTTTGTAGGAATTGCATTAAATCTGTATAACACTTTTGGTAGTTTGGCCATTTTGACAATATTGATTATGCCTATCCAAGAACATGGGAGATCTTTTCATCTTCTAAGGTCCTCTTTAATTTCTTTCTTTAGTTTTCTGTAGTTTTAATTATAGAGGTCTTTCACCTTATTTGTTAGACTCCCAAGTATTTCATTTTTTTGAGGCTGTTGTGAATGGCATAGATTTCCTACTTTTTCTGTCAGCCAATTAATCATTGGTGTGTAAGAATTCAATTGGTTTATGGGTGTTAAATTTATATCCTTCTTCTTGGACCTCCTGGATGAACAGGAGGACTATTCTCCCATAGGTTGCATTCGAGATTGGAGAACATGTATCAAACAGAAAGAAGAGTGTAAGGCTTCCCTGCAGGAAGGGAGAGCTGGACACACCATGGATCTGGGACTGATGCTGGTTCTTTGTCTAGAGACCTGCCCTGTCACAGCCTGTACAGCCAGTGGGACTTGGCTGGGGTGGACTGTATTGTGGAGACAGGAAATTAAACAGGAGCTATGGGAAACAGAGGCCAGGCTTCTGCCTGCCCACAGTGCCATGCCTTTCAGCCTGGGCACCCAGATGGACCTAGAGGATTTCCATAAGTCTCCAGCTGCTGTTGCCTTTTGTGCAGCTACACATGAGTGGCTTGAACCTGGAGCACTGTGCCCACTACCTGCAGGCCCAGCTTGAGGATGCGAAGTGCAGCAGGAAGAGGAGGACTGGGGTGGGTATACAAGGGTAAGGAGGGTACACAAGTGTAAATGAAAAAGGTCATGTTTTGGTCCCACTGGATGGAGTCTATAAGTCTAATGTTGCACTGGGAATAATGATAAGCCTTTTACCACTCAGGCAATGTTGTCGGTCTGAGAAGAGATCCTGTGTGGGCTTTGGGGCTAAAAACTTCTGGGCAGATAGAGTATTGACTGTTCTAGCAAAGCTCAGGGCAAGGCAGTCATGTTGGAATCATTTCTCCTCTAGCTGCAGCCTCAGTTCCAGAACAAGCTCTTAAAGCACCTGCAGAGCTACAGCCTTCTCCAGGAGGTGCTCTGGTGCCCAGTCAAGTGGCAGCACCAGCATCAGATCCAGAGCTTGTGTTCAACCCAGTATGTGTTTGGAAGCAAGAGGCAGTTCTAGAGCTGGCTTTAGTGTCAGCTTTGGAGTTCCAGGCAGCTCTTGCTCCACTGCTGAATTTAGCTCTGTCCCCAACTCTAGAGCTGAAGTCCATCCCATTACCAGTTCTGTCAGTAGAGCCTTGCCAGCCTTAACTTGTGCCACAGAGAAAGGGCTGAGAAAGGGAATGTGTTAACATTCCCTCCAGACCTGAGGGCAGAGAGCTTCCTGCTAATGGATGAAATGTCTTTGCATGCCTGGGCTTGGTGGTTGAACTTCCTTCTGGTATCTGCTGCCTAGACCTGCTGTTTCCTGCTGTAGAGCCCATGTTCCTGTCTCAACTCCATTTCACCACTGCAGTGAGTGATGCTGACTTCTGGGTGGTGATGAGTTCCAAAAGGAAAAGATATGTCTATGAGCTCTGAACAGGGCAGAGTGGGAAGTTAGAACAGCATCATGGGCAGTAAAATGATCGTGCTCTGTATGTCAGTGAGGCAGGTGTGCATTTGTACAACATAGAGGAAGAAGCAGGCAGAGGCAGGCAAGGCAACCAGAGTAGAGGCAGTATTTTGAGGGATAAAGGAGCTTAGAAGCAGGCCCTGTGCAAAAGTAAGGTTTCCTATTTGGTGGTAGACTGAGGGGACAATGTTGTCTCTGATTGCATCCTTGGCTAATCCAAAGAGCCAAGATAACTCAAAGTCTGGGTATAGTTTCCAGAAGCCCCATAGAGAGTGCTGTGAACCTGAAGTTTTGGGGATTCTGCTGATGTTGCCATCTCCACAGTTCTTGAAGTCGAATTCAGAGTCCTCAGCAGTGACGTCCAGCTCCACTGCATCTTTGAGCAACACCTCTTCAGAATTGTCCAGGCCTTTTCCCATGGCCACCAAAAACAACAGTGTCCAGTATTGCAGGTATCTCCACTAGCAGTACCTCACTGCCCATCTACAACAAGCAGCTGGGAGATAGCTGCATGGTTTACATCAACCTAGAAGAGCAGATTATGACGGAATACGAGATAATCCTGGTGAGCCTGACAGCAGGGGTTTCTCACAGGTGACCACACTGGAAAAGGCAGAAAACATATCCAACACCATGGACTAGTCCTGCCATCTTGAATTGGAGCTTCTGGAAGGTTAGGAGGGAATAAAGAAGGGAGAGGTCTGTGTTTAGGACTTGACCTGAGAGGAGGGAGAGCACCCGTATGCCCAGCTCCAGCTGTGAGTGGGCCTGCATGCTGTGGGGTTTGCCAGCCACAAGTGTAAGAGTACATGCTGGAGACAGATGAGGTCAGAGAAATATCTAGGGTGCAGGCTGCACTGTATGGGCCACAGACACCTACGAGCCATTCAGGAAGCCAGGAGTGTGAGTCTGCATATCCCTTGAATGGGTAGCTGAGAAAGTCTCTTTGTAGAATTTATATGGATGTGGAGTATACACCCTAATATTTCAGGTGTCCAGATGCAGAGGAGACATGTTCAGTTCTCCCCCTGCTGGTTCAGGTATCCCATTACACCCCAGCCACCACTGAGCCTCTAGTCTCTCATCTGCATGGTCTTGTTCCTCAGTTTGTTTTTTGCCCTGGCTGTAAGGACCAAAGCCTGCAACATTTCTGCCTGTGCCAAGTAAAGAATCAGCCTGCATCCTAGAGTAGAACTGGCATATAGTGGGTCACTGGTCTATTACTCTGATCTCAGTGGGCGTAGGAGGTATCTGTGCACAGACTCTTGAGTCCTTTTACCTTGAGTGAAAAGTGCCTCCAGACAGGTCAATGGCAATTACAGGCAGACTATTGTATGAGGATTGGGGTAGTAGCCCATGGGAAGAACCAATATGATTACAGGGAGCCCAGCCTTAGGTGGCAGGATAACAAGAGGTGCCTTTGTGTTCACAGCTGAGGTGTCTCCTGAATGTCTCTGACCACTGTTGTCTGGGCATAACCTCCAGGCCACATACCCTGATGACCTGTTTTTCATGCTGATCCAGGTGACCTTCCAGGATAGGGTTCCTGCTGATATGCAGGATTTGGACCAACACTGCTTAAAAAGGAATATTTGGAAAATTTGAGCTCCCATAAATCATCTCAGAGCATCAGAATAAGTGGGACAACGAGATGGTGGGGAGAAATGATCAACCAGCAGGCTCCAGACAATTTGCATCCCAAAAAAAGAAAGAAAGAGTGCCTTGGCCTAGAAAAAACAGCCAGAGTGTGTGGTGGGTCTTGTGCACAAAGGAAACTGCACTGAAGTGGGCCTAAAATATGCAGGTGCTCTGTGCTGTCCCAGGGGCTGCTGGACCTCCCTAACATGTGTCCTCCCCTGCATCAGTCACTCATTGCAAAGCTGACATCTATAATGGTCAAAGAAGAAAGCCTCCTTCAAGCAGCAGCATGCACCATGGTCACTGATAAAGATGATCTCTGACTAAGAAGGGAAAAAATGGGCTACAAATGGAATCACACTGATGTGAAAAAAGAGGGGGATGAGGAGGGAAAGGAGGCAAACAAGAGAGAGGAATACAAAAAGCACAAGAGTAGGTTTAATTATAACTGGAATAAGAATACAAATCAGAGGGATAATGATGAGGAGGAAGAGGAAGACATGAAAACATTTCTGTTCCTGAGGGCATACTCCTGCTCAGGTCATCCTCCATCCATGCCCAACATACTTCCAATTTTTATCACCTTCTAGGAGTGTATTCATCTATAAATGGATTAATCCACTGATTAGGTCAAGGTACTCACCATCAAACAATTTCCTGAAAGCACATGTTTCAGTATTCCTGCATTGTGAAGAAAGGTTCAGCACATGGGCCACTGGGGGCAAATTCTGACACAAACACTAGCAGTAGTTCTTTGGCAGGTCCAACCTGAACTGAGTCATTCTGGTGTTCAAGGGGCGTTTTCTTTGAAAGGTGTTAGTTTGGTTTAGTTCTTGTGCGCGGAGGAAGTCTTTGATAGTACTATAGCTGGATTGGAGGGCTCTACGGTCTGTGGATGGCCTGACATGGCAGAGGCTCTCAGATGTTGAGTGTGTCCTGTGGTGTACTACTTGAATGTCAACTACCACCTTTCTGCCACTCCCTCCCCAGAATGGGATCCCTGACAATGGAAACATCGTATGTGCCATAAACTCTCCAGTCAACCATTACTTCATCCTGGGAAAGTGATCCACCAGCAAGTGGGCCAAGATCAAGGAAGGAGGGTAAACACTGGTCTTATTGGCTCTTTTTTTCTGGTACTACTGTACATCCACAAAAGGAGGCAAGAAACCGCAGATTCCTATATGTTCTAGAAGCCCTATAGAGCAAACTGACAGGCTGGGGTGGCTTACAGTTTCTGGGTTTGCTGATGTTGCCATCCCCCACAGTTCTTGAAGTATCCTCTGCAATTACAGACAGCATCACCACAGCCTGGAGGAGAACCTTTTCTCCAAAAGGAGGACACAGGTTTATGGACAATAAATGCTTCATGAAGCCTAGTGTCCTAGGAGTCACTACTAGCAGATCCTCAAGGCCCTCTAAAACAAGCATTTGGGAGACAGATTCTTGGTTCATATTAGCTTAGAAGAGCAAAGCAGAAAAAACTGTAAGAGTGTCCTGATAAGACCAGTAGAAGGGAGGTCTCCTTATGCTTAACCCAGGGCAGGGAGCAAACACATATCAAATGCCATGGACTATCCATGCTCTTTAGAATTGGAGCTCCTGAATGGTCAGGAAGCATAGATGGAAACAAGGAAGAGAGAGGTCAGTGTTAAGGGATAGACCTGAGAGGAGGGAGAGCACCAGTATGTCTACCCCCATGTCTGGGGGAGTCTATGTTTGGTGGTAGCAGGCAGGCCAGAAGTCCAGGGGCAGGTATTGGTGGGAGATGAGAATAGGAAAGGACCTAGGCCCATCTACTGTATTGGATGGAGAATGCAGGTGCACATGGAGGACATTGGTATGAGGTTCTTTGTGTCCCTTGAATAAGGAACTGGGAGGGTCTCTGCAGAATTTATATGGATATGGTGTAAACTAAACCTCTAGGATCCCATTTTTAATGATCACCCTTGCTGAATGAGGTGCTCCAATACACCCCAGTCAGCACTGAGCCTCAGGAGGCCAGTTGCTCTCATGGCTATCATTGAGCACTCACACACACGATCTTGTCCTTGAGTCTGTTTTTGTCCTGGGAATCAGGATCAAAGCCTCTAGGGCTTCTGCCTGGGCTACACACAAATGCAGCCTGCATCTCAGAGTAGACTAGGGATATATAGGAGGACAGGGTCTATTCCTTCCATCTTGGTGGGAGAAGAGTGTGTCTGTACATAGGCTGTGTGGTCCTTTTATTCTGAGTGGAATGTGACTCTACACAAACAAGGCAATGGAAGCTACAAGCACAGTGTTGTATGAGAATTGGGCTCGTAGCCCATCAGAAGACCCCACGAGATTACCAGGAGACCACCCTCAGGCACTAGAGTGATGACATGGTATCCTTTTATTTAGAGCTGAGGTGACTCAAATGACCTGACCACTGTCCTTCAGGTAGCCACTGTCCTTCGGGTAGGCCCATTTCCTGAAGGCCTGTATCCTATGTTGATCCAGGACCTGCCATGATAGGGCTTCTGTAATCATATGCAGGACTCTGGACCAACACTTGCTAAAGGAGGAGAATTCAGAAGACCATGAGTAAGTGGTCTTACTCATGGCAGGGAGCAATGGTCTGGAAGTGGACTCAGGACAAATTGTAGTTCAAAATAGTAGTATCTGACCTAGAAGAACACTCAAACAGGGTGTGGTGGGCGTTGTGCACAGGAAAACCTGCACTGAGGCTGGAAAAACGGTTTACAGGTTCTATTATCTTCCCCAGTGGCTAATGCGACCCCCACCATGTGTTTTTCCCTGGACCTGAACAGGCGTTCCATGCTGGTATCAGTGAGGAGTAAGGAGGAAAGCTTCCTCTCAGGGTCAGGATGGCTCCATAGCCCACTGATAGGAATGGTTTTAGAGGAAGATGGGAACACAGGGACTAAGGATGAAATTGATACTTTTCTGGCCTGAAGCACAATATTTAAAGCATTGTGTATGACATTAAAACCACAGCCTGTGTGGAGTATTGTCAGTGTTCCAGCAAGCAAAACCAGGAATAAATTTTTAAAAAGTACAGGCTGGGCAACAGCCCGAATAGTCTATCTTTGGACAAATTCCCAAGTCCTCTGTGCCAGAGTCTGCTTCCCAATAAGTGATCAGAATAGTGAGATCATTATCCCTAACTAAAGTAATCTGAGGGATTTCTAAGCATGTATACCACAAAGCTGATCTATAAATAATACCATTGCTGTTTTCTTTTTTGAGAGTAAAACATCCATAGCAGCCATGATCCCAACCTGTCTGCACTGAAACACTCCACCCCTAGGAATTCTAGGGTAAATTATCTCATATATTAATCTACCAAGTTTGTTAGGTTAGTAGAGTCTTACAGAAGAGGAAGGCTGAAGCCTTGGTAGGCTAAGGAAATCATAGCAGAGATACACACATCCAGCCCAGCATTGACTGAGAACAGGCTGTAGGCCAGAGGAAGGCTGCAGGAAACAGGTGTTCAGAGGAAGGACTAGCTGAGTGTCTGAAACCCACTGGGGGTTGTGGCATCCCTGGGCCATAGCAAAATGCTGAAGTAAAGCAGTTACTCCCCTGGTCTTTGGAACCATTGTTCTCAGTAGGGTAGCATTTGTGATATGGCATCCATTCTAGGAAGCCTGGACCACATGGAGGCAGGCACCACCAATGGCAGGAGCATGGCTAAAATGTGGTATGTGTATTGGTTAGCCTTTTCTCACTGTGACAATACTTGAGGAAAATAACTTAGAAAAGAAATCATGGATTTTGGCTCTGGGTCTCATTGCTCTCCATTTGATTATGCACTGAATCTGTCTATAATGACATAAGTGTATGGCAGTGGAAAGTTACTCAGCCTCTTGCCAATCAGGGCATAGATTAGGAGAGAGAGAATGAGGGTGATAGAGGGAGGGAAAGAAAGATAGGAGGATGAGGAATACTACTAGGAGAATGAAGATTAAGGGGAGCCAACTGGGAAAATATACACCTACCAAAGGCCCTCTTCTGTGCAGGTCTTTCTTCAACCATGCCCAAACTAGCTGCAGTTCATACCACCTCCCAGTATTGTATTCATCTTGAATGAGTATTTCATGATAACATCAGAGCACTCACCATCGAATGCTTCCCCCAAAACTGACCTATGATCATTGCTGAATTGGGGACCAGTCACTCAACATTTGAGCCTTTTGCAGGAGATTCTGGATGCAAACCCTTGCAGTGTCCTATGGCAGATACAAGAGGAACTGAAATGTTCTGCCAAAGCAGCAGATATTATGTCTGTTGAAGTCATTTTTTCCTCAGGAAGAACTATTGAGGACATCTTTGTAGGTATTGGAGCTGAATTGGTGAACTCGCAGGTCTGTGGATCATGCCTTTCCTGACAGAGGCTCTCAGATGTTGGGAGTGTCCTGTGGTGCATCTGTTGAAAGCCACCTAATACCTGTATTCTCCTCTCTCCCCAGAGCTGAAGATTCCCCATGACGCAACTATCTTTTATTCCCTGAATCCTTGAGTCAAGTATGACTTTGTACTGAGGAAGAAGATCTTCCCAAGTAAGAAGAACAATGAGTGGATCCAGCCCAAACCTCCCCCTCATGATGCAACAGAGGCTCAAAATCACCACAGGAACCTTAAAAGAACATTTTGCAGCTCTCCGACTGGGTAGTACTGAAGCATCACATGATCGTTGGCATTTATTTCTTTAAATATGTGCTCCAAAATTTTGCAGTTACCCATCTATAATTTGCCAGTAGATCCTTGTTATTTATACCACTTAGTAAGACATTTATTATTATAGCAAAACTTTATTGTTTAGTTTTAGCATTTAAAATATAAATGTTTTCCTTTGTAATCTGTAATAATTTTAGCAGCAATTTCTAGAGGAAACAAACAAAAAGGAAGAAATGTTTCATTTGATCAACTAGAAATTTTATTAGGGTTATGGCAGATTATATATCTGAGTAAATTTTCCAGTGGGAGTAATTAAATACTGGATTTCATGGAACACATACACAAACCCATCCACCTACACCCCATGCACTTAGATTGCATGATTGAATAGATTCAATGTCTATGCTGAAATGTTTGGGAGAAGGGTTTCAAATTCTCAGATTTTGAAATGTTTTCAATTACATAAGTTACCTTGGGAATGAAACTCAATTCTAAACAAGAAATGCATGAGTACTTTACACACACCTTTACACATATCCTGAAGTTAGTATTATATGCAATATATTTAGTGCACCTGTATTCTGACTGTGACCATACTTGGAGGTCAGATGTGTAATTTTCTACTTGTAGCATCACAATGGGTCTCCAATGTTTTGATTTTGGAATATTGCAGATTTTTATTTTTTAGATAAGGAATGATATATACCATACATATGTCTTTTTATTTATACATGTAATGATAATGAATGTCATGCGTTTAGGAATCTGTAGACTGTAGAAAATGAATAAATGCCTACTGTTGCCTGGACTTGTCTGCAGAATCCTATAGAGTCTGAGCATCTAAAAACCTAGTCATTGAAGGATTTTTATGGCATGGAACAAATTTAAAGGGGTATTAAAGAATAGAACTATTTTTTTTTTCTGACTCATGGAGCAGGACTCACAGTTGTTCAAGATTTTATGGGTTACTAATCTTTGATAATTCTGTTATTTGTTAATATATTTAATGCAGTTAATTGTAGTTGAAAACTACCCATTTGAAATATATTAATTAGCATTGTTTCTGTAAATATAAACTGACTGTAAATATAAACCATTTTTGATAACTACAAGGAAGACAAGATTTCCAAATTTTCAAACTTGAAATTGGGCATTGTCCTTGAAACTGTTAGTCCCTGAGTTTGAATGAAGGAGTTAGAAAATTTTCAATTTTCCACAGTATATAAAAAATTACACACTTAAAATAATGTATATTTGCTTAAACTATCTACAAATTGGAATTTTGTAAGCAGTCATTCAATTTTTTTAATTGATAGACTACATGTTTATGAAAACTAGAAAGTGTTTTCATGGGATAAAATAGTATCAGTTAATTTATAATGTCTATATTCTTGTTTGATATCTTGCTCCATTTCAGTGTTACCAAGCTTAAATTCAAAATATCAATGAAACAAACACACTGTCTATAGAACAAACCCTGTTAAAGATTTCTTTAATATTTCTTATTTGTGATATGTTCTCTTATTTTAATCACCATTAAAGAATAATTAGTTATGCATTTTTACCATTATGTAATAAAAATTAAATGCACAATACCAGGAAAATGTGTTTACAAATTAAGCATTTGCATATATCAGTATAGTTAGCATAATGAAAAGACAGGTCTTTTCTAAATGGCTTCATTTTCATTAGCAGGCATTATTAGTGTGTATAGAAGTATTATATGCATATTTGTCCATCTTCATCTTTATGCTTTAAAAGTTCATGATATTAAGACATTTGTAGCATAATAAATAATGTACAACTTAGTCTTGTATTTACTCCTTTTCAATTCTTAGTCTTCCAATGAATGTATCATAATAATTTTTAGGTTTCTAATAACAAAATATCATAGTCATTAATTGGTTGGACATTATTTCTCAATAGAGCAAATCTTGTTTCTATAATAAGAATTTGGCCAAAAAAAATGAATTCAAAATTTATTTCAATATATTATTCTTCTGACACATAGCAAAAAATTTCTTAAGAAATGAAAATGGTTATTAACTACAAGTTATAATAATTTTGTATTTTCAGAATATTACTCTCTGAAAAAAGCATATACAAGAAGTATAAAGTGAGATGGAAGGCACGGCGCTCGGCACAGGTGGAAGGTGGAGCTGCGTGGTGCTTGGTGCAGAACACAGAGGCTTTGCTTGCGGGTCACCAGACCTAGCTCTGGACAAAGCACAAGGTCACCCCAGTATCCCCCACCTCACCAAATACCCTATGCGGGAAACAGACGGAATCCATCTTGGAAAACCTTACTCCCCATCTATCGGTGAGCGTGGCTACCAGCGTGGTTCTGTGGCTGATCAGGTACCTGGTTTCCAACTCCCCAACCCCAGCTGTGATAACTCAAAATTTTTCCCACAAGCTTTTTTTTTTGGGGGGGGGGGGCGGTGCGTAACTATCAATATGTAACAGCAACTGTACAGGCACTTGGTTTCCAACTCAGAGACTAAGAGTAAGGAGGCTCCAGGTAGAAGCTCAAGCCCTCTCACACTGGCTACCTCCACCATCCTGAACGCAGAGACTCAAGCCAGGAATAGACAACTCCACCTACTGCAAGAAAAGAAAACAGAGTTCTGAGACTTTTCTTTCTTTCTTTTATTTTTTTGCTCTTCTCATCCAATCTCCTTTACTCTTCAACCTCTGGTCCTCACAACCTCAACATTTGTGAAACCAAGAACTTTGCATGAAATAGGACTTTAACAACTTAATCACCAGAATAATATAATATAGAGGAATTGCATATGCCCCCCTTCCCCCCCTTTTTCTTCTTCTTATTTTCTTTCTCCCACTCACTTTTTTTTCTTTCTGTCCTTGTTATTTTTTTCTTCCTCCCCCTATCCCACTTTCAACCTCCTAACTTTTACTATTTATATGTAGGGTGATTTTCTAAATACAGATAGGAGTTTGTATACATTCTTCTGTAAATTACCCCTGTCTATTCGTTAGAGTTCTCCAAAGTTGCTAAGTTAGATTAACCCCGTACTGTCACTCCTTTCCCCCTTAATATAATGTCCTATGCCTGACCCTCGGTTTTCCATATGCCACCAGAAATGGCCTTTTATGAAACTAATGACTATATTTTAAATAATGATTGAAGCCAACATCTGTAGAAATAGAGTCTAACTATAAATGTATTAATAATGAAAACTTGCTCATAGATGATGTCCTATTGATATTGGGAACTGTTAACATTATCTACGCTAAGCCTCAGGCCAGCATCATTTCTAAATGGAGAAAAACTGAAGGCATTCCCTCTAAAATCTGGAACAAGACAGGGATGCCCTCTCTCATCACTTCTGTTCAACATAGTTCTTGAAACACTGGCCAGAGCAATTAGACAGACAAAAGAAATTAAAGGAATAACTATAGGAAAAGAAGAACTTAAACTAGCACTATTTGCTGATGATATGATTCTATACCTAGAAGACCCCAAAAAACGGACACCTAGGTGATTGCATAACTTAACTGTTATAACTTTTGATGCTATAAACATGGGATGAATGTATCATTATAGTACACTGTCTTTAATTTTTTTTTTTTTTTGGTTTAACACTGAGGAGTGGTATGTCTGGATCATATGGTGGTTCCATTACTAATCCTTGGAGGAACCTCCATATTGTTTTCTATGTTGGTTGCATTAATTTACAATTTCACAAAGAATATATATGAGTTCTGTTATCAACATAATAAATGTATCATTACCAGCAATTTTTATTATTTGTATTCTTTTTTTTTCTAAATAAAAAAATTTTCTTCCTCACAACATCATACATGTATTCTGTATAATGATGAGGGTTTCGTTCTATCTTCCTTGCAACTCTCCTTCTCCCTCCTTTTCCCTCCCACCTCTCTTCCCTATTTAGTGGTAATCTTCTTCTCATGCTCTTCCTCCCTATCCCATTTTGAGTCACCCCCCCCCCCTTATATCAGAGAAGACATTCGGCATTTGTTTTTTAGGGATTGGCTAACTTCACTTAGCATAATCTGCTCTAATGCCATCCATTTCCCTGCAAATGCCATGACCTTG